GCCAGCAGAGGTGGTGGTGAAGGCTTCTGGGAGCTGTAGTCCAAGAACATCTGGAGGACCAAGGTTGAGGATCACTGGTTTAGATTATACCTGACTAGCCCAGTGGTTTTTCCTACTTTCTTCAGTTTAAGCTTGACTTTTGCTATGAGAAGCTGATGATCAGAGCCACAATCAGCTCCAGGTCTTGTATTCCAGTCCCCTAGAATGAGAAGAACATCTTTCTTTGGTGTCAGTTCTAGAAGGTGTTGTAAATCTTCATAGAATTGTTCAATTTCAGTCTCCTCAGCAATGCTGGTTGGTGCATAAACTTGGATTATTGTGATGTTGAATGGTCTGCCTTGGATTCGTATTGACATCATTCTATCATTTTTGAGATTGTATCCCATTACAGCTTTTCCCACTCTTTTGTTGACTATGAGGGCTACTCCATTCCTTCTACGGGATTCTTGCCCACAGTAGTAGATATGATAATCATCTGAGCTGAATTCGCCCATTCCTGTCCATTTTAGTTCACTGATGCCCAGGATGTCGATGTTTATTCTTGCCATCTCCTGTTTGACCACCTCCAGCTTCCCAATGTTCATAGATCTTACATTCCAGGTTCCTATGCAGTATTTTTCTTTGCAGCATTGGATTTTCCTTTCACTTCCAGGCACGTCCACAGCTGAGCGTCCTTTCGGCTTTGGCCCAACCACTTCATTAGCTCTGGAGCTACTTGTACTTGTCCTCCACTCTTCCTCAGTAGCATGTTGGACGCCTTCCGACCTGAGGGGCCCATCTTCCAGCATCATATCTTTTAGCCTTTTGTTTCTGATCATGGGGCGTTCATCGGACTTTCTTTTCACTTCCAGGCATGTCCACCGCTGAGCGTCCTTTCGGCTTTGGCTCAGCCACTTCATTAGCTGTGGAGCTACTAGTACTTGTCCTCCGCACTTCCTCAGTAACATATTGGACGCCTTCCGACCTGAGGGGCCCATCTTCTAGCGTCATATCTTTTAGCCTTTTTTTCTGATCATGGGGCATTCTTGGCAAAGATACTAGAGTGGCTTGCCAATTCCTACTCCAAAGGTATACACACTGTAGATCTAATATTCATATCTTTAAGGGCTATTTAGCTACTAACAAAATCCACACCACAGTAATGGCTTATTCTTCAAGCAACAAGAGGTCTACTACTGGCGAAAGGAACTTTTCATAAGGGATAAACAAAATATGGATAGTTAGAAATATATCCATATTCATATCCTTAAGGGCTATTTAGCTACTAACAAAATCCACACCACAGTAATGGCTTATTCTTCAAGCAACAAGAGGTCTACTACTGGCGAAAGGAACTTTTCATAAGGGATAAACAAAATATGGATAGTTAGAAATAAACTATATCAAGATGGAAGTAAATAAATGAAATAAATCAAGCTGTGGCAGTCTGTTGGCCTGTTTTGTTAGGAAAAGGGAGAATGACAATGGATATGATAAGCCTCATAAATATAGATGGGTAATATAGAAGATGGAATAACACTGGACTGAGAGACCAAGGTCAATATCCACACATGATAGCCACAGGGCAGCCATTTAAGACATCAATCAGAAAACCCTTTAGACAACACTGGGCATAAAAATCAAACACCAATTTATCATTTAGCCTGCAATTGCTTATACCAAGGATAAACTTTACACAGTATAGCAGTGCAGAATCCTCAGTGTCCTCTCCCCTGCTGTAAAGGAGTTGAGATATAAAGAATTTGCACTGGACAAGGGCCAGCATGAAAAACAATCAGCTCTTCCCCTGATATTTATATGTACCCAGAAACTATTCTCTCCCCAACTAGCAAGTTCTTCTTCACTCAACAGTGCTTAGAATCGGTTTGAACCCTTGTGAACACAGAAACAACCTCTCTGAATGAAAAGGAAGTCAGCATGTCTTTGCTGCTTGTAGTAGTTAAGCCACAGCTGTATATTAAACTTAGTATTTAAAAGGGGAGGAAAGGGCCATTAAAGGCTTGTTTGTTTTAAGGATTTAGCCCAAACTAATAAAAGTCATCATGAACATTAACAAAAATTTAAACTGAACTTTGTAAGAATTATTTCCATTATTCAAAAGCTTTTGACACAATCTGAATTTTGTTTCTTTTATATTAGCATGGGTAAAAGAAACTGATAGTAAACACCAGTACACACATTTTAATGGCTACTGTAAAAGAAAAATTGTTAAATTGATCCCGTTAAATTATGCTGCAGTTTATTCACTTGTGTATGAGTACAATATCGTGATATTGCATACAAAATCAAATAGTGAAATATTACATCTGGAGAGAAACAAGTACATTGTGGAGTTCATCCCATAGCTTTGAGCACATATTCCCTTGAAAGAAGAGTAAGGCATTTAGGCCAAGGTATTTGTCTTATATCAAAAAGAAAATGTTAATTCCTTTTTAATTAATTAATTTATTTAACTTACATAAAAGTGGAAAACAATGTGGAAAACAATGCATTTTCTCTTTAGTTTACCTTAATATGCATCTTGGCTCTTTTCAGCAGGCTGAGTGTAGTATGTCTAGTACTATCTGCTCCCAGAGGAACAAGTTGTTTTAACTCTTCTAAATATAGCCGAAGTTTAGCCCGTCTGAAATTATTAATAACCAAAAATGTTGTCATTAACATATAAAATTTGCTATCCCTTTAGAATTTCTGCACAACATTTGCCCCACATAAACTAGAGATATATTGTACTGTTATAAAAGAATCTTCAGAAAAATGGAAGCATTCTCTAGAAATAAAAGAACTCTGATCAGTCAGTGATTTTCTTTTAGTGCCTTCTTATCATAGCTCTCAGTTTTAACATATTTATAACTGTCTTAGTCACTCAAATATACAAGGCAGTATAACATACTATAGCAAATAGTAATAAAGAAATATATATAACATGACCTATTACTACTAAAATTAATAACCGTTCTTTCCAACAATAAAGCTTGTTACTTACCAATGCTTAAGCAGCCAAAATAATATCCCTGCACACGAAAGTTACAGCAGCAGACTTGGGGGCTGTAAACTACTCAAATTGACCAATTAGGACTAATTGTGCTCAACAGCCATGAAAGGCTGCCACATCCCATTCAAGCAAGAGGGGTTGCTGCTGCAGTGCAGTGTGGTGGGAGTTTCCAACAACTTCAGAACTCCAACCAGTTTATGTTGTGGCCCCTTCCTTCACTAGTGACTATCATGGACCCAAACAGCTTGTCCAGCTGTCTTATTTATTTATTTTATTTATATCCCGCCTATCTAGTCAATAGACCACTCTAGTCTCAGAGATACCTGTTGATGTTATATCACTTGGTTCACCTCTTGAGATATTTTCCCCCTTCTGTCTACAGGGTGGGGGTTGAGGGAAAGATCCTGTCTAGGCAGGTGTAAGCTTTTACTCCCAGATGTTGAATGCATTCAGAAGGAATTAACTTATTCTTTTTGCAGCTGACCAGAACCCACTGTTCTGAAGAGCCTCTATGGTCAATTGGATATCTCTGATTCCCTGCCCCAGATAGGGAACTCTGATCAAAAGACTGATATACAGAAACAAGTACACCTGTTCTTTCCTGAGGTGAGCTAGCTACCAGTGCCATCATCAGCTTGATGAACACCTTGGGTAGTGGGTAAAGGCTGAGGGGAGGGCCTTGATTTAAATGTGCTTTACCACAAAACAGAACTGAAGGAATTCTGTGAGGATGAAAGCAAACAGATAAATGAACAGGTATGTCCAGGTAAGCTTTGCTGAGATCAAGAGAAGCCCATCAAGAAAACACCATTATCACAAGGGTTTCGCAGATACTACTCCATTTTGTTCATTGTCCCCAAATGCTCCTTGAACTAATTGAGAGGCATTTTGGACCTAAAGAGATTGAACAAGTATCTGTCTACATTCACCCTACTGAGGCTTTCAGCCCCTGAAGGCCCAGCATTCAAACTGCAGCTGCAAACCAAGGAAGGAGTAGGAGCCTTGTTATCGAGCCCTTGATCTTTCTTCTATGGATTAAGGGAATTGCTCTCTTTGTATCCTTGGTCTTGTTTAGGACTAGTTCTCAGGATTCACCAAATAACTTGCAACCAAACCACAAATATGAGATTATTTTTAACTCTAGTGTTCATCTGCCAATGCTTAAGCCATATATGTCTGCATGCAGAGATTGCAGCTGCTTGTACCCTGGCACTAAATTGAATGGCATTAATGCTGGCATTGGCTGCAAAGTCAGTGGCCCTAAGAATCTTATTCAAGCACTGTCTAGGTCTAACATTTCCCCTAAAAAAGTCTTTCAAAATCTCCTTTGTCCAAATGAACACTTCCCTTGCCATGATGGATGATGCTGTCAGATGCCTTACTGGTTGGATGTTAGAAAATGGACCCTTCTATCATTCTAAGATCTCAATGCATCCTCACCATTCTTAATTTATCTGATGAGAATACTAGGGTTGTGGCAGGGGCATTCACCAGGAGAACCTGTAGTTTGTTAAGATACTGAGGAAGGGAGGTTGTAACTTTTTAAAAAAACTTGGGTGTAAAAGACTTTTGGAAGCAACTGGTTTTTCCCATGCTTCCCTTATTGCAGACATGAAAGCACTTGGGAACAGAAATTCTAAGGAGGGAGGATGGCCTTTTTAAAAGCTTCTCCCGGGCCCTCCGGGAGATCTGGGTCAGTAGCCTTGTCAAGGTTTTCTGGCTTCCCCAGAGATCCGATGACCTTTCATAAGAGGGGGCCAAAGCCCTATAGCTAAAACAGTCTAAAGGAGGAAGAAGAGGAAGCCACTAATTTTTCAGATACCTCCTCCCCTTCTCAGAGAGCTCTCCTTCCACCAGCTCTCCTCTGAGAGTTTCTCTCCATGAAGTAATATGAAGGGGAAAGGATCTCCCTCCTGTAGAGATGCTGGATTGACCAGGAGGTGCTAAGCTTGCGGATCTTGCTGGGAGAGGGGCTGGTCACATGTATGCCTCTTTAAAATGGTGTTTGGGCACCACCCTTTCCCTTCCACATGGACAAGATGGCATCTGTTCGTGAAAGGGTGTGTGCATTCCTTATGACTTGCTGCCGAGTCTTCAATCTGACTGGGAGAGGAAGAATTCCTGCCCAGATGTACCATATGGCGAGCTTTAAGTAAATTGCAACAGCAATTGGGGGGGGGGGCAGGGAAATCCCTGCCACAGTGTAGCCAGTTTTGTCACTGCTTGGAAGGCTCCCCAGGTGGCTGGAGTGGCTGCCTCAACTTCCCTCATGACAATTTTCTTGATCCATGAGAAAATCTCTGGATTCAAGATATGTCAATCGAAGAGTGAAGGAGGGAGGAGTCCTGAGCCCAGTTAATCATGCCCGCTGAGCTCTTGAGAGTATCTATCAGGCACAGAAAAGCATCTGGTGGCATGTGGGGCAAGTCTCCTATATGTATCCCCTCCTTTGACAAGAGCTTCAAGAAATCCTTCCCTTTCTCCCCTGGCAGGCAAATTGAGGTTCTGCCTCAGGCTCAGCAACTGAATGCTTCATGGGAGTCAGCAAGTTTGCTGAAACCCCCAGGGCTATCTTCCCAGTTTGCAATCGAAAAGAAAGGACAGGGAGATAAAAAGGAAAATCAAGTTTTGTTGTTTTTTTAAAAACAGAGAAATTGGTGAGTGAAGAGACAAGACGCAAGCATCTTATTGAGATGGGGGCAGAAACAGCCACCCTCACCTCCAAAAAAGATTGGTCTTTATCTTCTGCTTACCAAGGTGAATGGGAGGGACAATCCATTGTAACCACGTCCTTCTCCACCATAGGAAACTAATGCCCCACTGGACTACCAGGGCACAAGGTACAAGACCTCCAACTGAATGCCATACCCTATTCCTCCAATCCAGTGCTTCCTAACCTTGGGTAACCTCAATGTTCTTGGATTGCAATTCACAGAAACCCCAGCCAGAACAACTACTGGCAAACGCTTTTGGAAACTTTAGTCAAGTTTGGGTATCACTGCCGTATCAATAAAGAGGAGCTCCGGCAGCTACTAGAATTCAGAGTGGAGCCTAGAGTCAAAGAGACCCAGCCACCCACCCTCACTCTAGGCAGGCATGGCAGCAGTAATTAAATATGCTTGAGCTACAGAGAAAGAAGCAAAAGAGATTTAAGCAAGTGTATGAACTTTTAAATTCTTTTTAAAATAAACTCCTTGGTTTACAAATTCTGTTTGCTGTTTTTGGAAACTAGCAGCCACAAGATATTATACCATGTATTATCACTAGCCAATGCCGGGACCAAGGTTCTCTCCCTCTGAGTAGCTGTCTTCCTCCTCTGCACAGTGATTGTGTTAAGTTCCAGTCACGACAAAACCCAGTGCACGCGGAGGGGCGGGAACCACATGCGCAGGGGCAAAGTTGCACGTGCGAGCGGTGGAGCCCCGCCTAGCAGAGCTGGAGGTTAGAAGGTACGTTGGCTGGGACACATAAGCAGAAATCCCCTTGCTTAGTTACAGAAACATAATTTTTGAAGGTGAACTAATTTAGGCTAAGACATTATTGTAGACATTGGCTCCATACTGAGTTGCGTGACTCAGTATTCAATTAATAAAGTCTACAGTGGATTCTTTCAGCAATTTGTCTCCAAAAGTAACACTATTTTTCTGTACGTACCCAACAAGGTTTTGTCTATAACTGAAGTTGGGTTACCAAAATAACAGGCTGTGTGTTTCTCCAAAAGTGTCTTTCTTCTTCTTTAAAAATATTTTTTTTAACTTGGGTGTAAAAGACTTTGGAGACAGCTGATTTTCCCATGCCTCCTTATTTAAAATTCTTTAAACAGTAAGGTAAAGTTAGCCCTTAGGTATGGCAGTGTTTAAGCAGCACAGGAAAGGAAATATTAGCTGTTTGCCTCATTTTGGTGAAAGCGATATTCCTGGGGAAGAAGCCCCTGTTACAAATTAAACAGCAAGCCCAAACTTAGTACAGTGGTGCCCCGCATAGTGACGATAATCCGTTCCAGAAAAATCATCGCTATGTGGATTCGTCGCTATGCAGAACAAAAAAGCCCACAGGAATGCATTAAAACACATTTAATGCGTTCCCTATGGGCAAAAAACGCACCATTATGCGAAAATCCTCCATATGGCCGCCATTTTCGCTGCCCGGTAAGCGATGAATGGGCGCGAAAACACTGTAGGCGGCCATTTTTTTACCCAGTGGCCATTTTGGAACTGCCAATCAGCTGTTCTAAAAACATCGCTATGCGAAAATCGGTAAGCGAAACAGCTTACCGATCATCGAAAGGCGATGTTTTACCATTTAAAACATCGCAATGCAATCGCAAAAAACACATTGCTATGCGGATTTGTCGTTAAACGGGGCACCCGTTATGTGGGGCACCACTGTACAGTGGTGCCCCACAAGAACCATGGCTTAAATGTGCACTGTCAAAAATTGCAATAAAGGGAGGTAATATGATCACAGAAAGCTATACTAGCCAGATTCACTGACATGCTTAAGTTTAACATTATTTGCAGCACAAAGAATGCAGAATATATTGTGAAAATATATGTAAAAATTATATGTATCTACATACAAATCAAAGCAAATGCAAAATTATGATTCATACTGATTTTCAATGGCAATTTTAAAGCTGACTGGATTGTGACCACCATAAATTACACAAACAAATAAAAGTACATAAAAGTCCACACAGTCTTGCTTGATTGTTACTTACCTATGCTTTTCTAGCTCATTATGTGAAGACCTATTGAAAACAGAAAATGTAACATTTCAGAATTACAGTATTTGCTAAAAGAAAAACTAATGTCAAATTGAAGAACTGATTTTCAGTCTAGTTTCTATAAGAAATTTACTTTTAAAATTAGGTACCCTTTAAGAACATCCAGAACATCTATTTTTATTTCTTATTCCTCCTGAATTTAATAAAAGCTTAGGATAAAACTAGACTCCATCTTCCATTTGAACTTCCACATTTTGGAATAGATAAGCTAGCACGGTCATGAATGCAATTTGAGAATCTGCACATGGCTGCAGAATCACAGCATGTGATATCACAATTGGTAACAGCCAATTTGTAGTGCTATGCTGTGACTAAACTGCACATTAGTCTGTACAACGTACACCGTCATGACTGGGACAGAACTCATTTGTAAATGGATGACTACAACATCTTTCAGGTAACTGCAATCATACTCAGCTAACATTTGGTGAGAATAACTTATGGCAGAATTGTGTTTGATACAGCACACTGAAATGCTCATCTGGTCAGGATGTCATCTTGCATCCTTGGCACAAGATGCTGCTATAGTGCTGTCCTCTGAAGATGCCGGCCACAGAGACTGGCGAAACGTTAGAAAGAACAACCTTCAGAACACGGCCAAAGAGCCCGAAAAACCCACAACCACCATTAGATCCCGGCTGTGAAAGCCTTCGTAAATATATTGTATTCATACTGCTTCTCAAACAAAAATAATGAGAACATGTTCAGCTTGGAATCTGAGATCAAGGATCAGCACACGTAACATCTGTGCACATCAGTCATAAATGAGCTCAAAAATTCTATTTCAATGGAAGCTATGGCCACTGTAGCAACCAGTAGATCTGTTTAGTTCAGTTCACTGTGTGAAATTCATAAAATCGTCAAGTTATATAGATGAAAGGGAACCCAACCTTCACCTACTCTACTTCTCACAAGTGCAGGAATCCACATTTAAAATATCCCTGACAGATAACAATTAACAGCCTGTTTTCTCTCAAAGCTAAACATGCTCAGCTTCTCACAGGGCTTGGTTTACAGAAATTTTATCATTCTGGTTAACCTCATCATGACATATTCCAGTCTGTTGATATCCTTCTTAAATCAAACAGGGCAAGTACTCAAGATGAGGTCTCACTGAAGTAGAACACAGTGGTATGATTATTTCCTTTTATCTGGACACTATGTTACTGTTGATGCAGCTTAGAATTGCATTGGCTTTTCTGTCAACACATTACATTATTGAACCATGTCTAGCTTGTTGTCTAAGATACCTACATCTTTTTCATACTTATTACTGCCAAGGCAGCTGTCACTCACTCTATATTTGTGCATTTGATTTGTCTGACCTAATCTGATTTCTCTTTGCAGAAACTCAATTTAGGTTTTTAACCCAATTCATCAGTCTGTTAAGATCTTCTTCAATACTGATCCAGTCTTCTTAAGCACTAGCTACTCCTCTCAGTTTGGTATCTTCTGCTAATTTTGCGAGCATCCCCTCCATACATTCATTCATAACATTTGTAAGATGTTGATGAACACAGTGCCCAGGACAGAACTCTGCAACACCCACCCCACCTACCACATCTTTCCAGGACAACCAGGAACTATTGGTGAGCAATCTTTAAAGCTGCCATGTCCACCTGTGAAGCAGGAGGTGAGACAGAGGCGCCTCTCACTGGGATGCCATCCATTCCCAAAAAGGAAAGAGAAAGAGGACTATGGACTGTCAGGTCCCTCAAAAACTACTACAGAGGATTCTCTCAGGGGGTCAAAAGAGAAGAATCATCCCAGGACTTAGGGGGGGATGGGAGAACTAAGGGAGCTGTTAGGAAAGGTGGGAAAGGAGGAGGAGGAGGAAAGAGGGAGGAAATAAGAAGGGGGGAGGAAGAAAAAACAGAGGAAGCGGTTGTTGTCGTTTAGTCGTGTCCGACTCTTCGTTACCTCATGGACCAGAGCACGCCAGGCCCTCCTGTCTTCCACTGCCTCCCGGAGTTGGGTCAAATTCATGTTGGTAGCTTCGATGACACTGTCCAGCCATCTTGTCCTCTGTCGTCCCCTTCTCCTTTTGTCTTCACACTTTCCCAACATCAGGGTCTTTTCTAAGGACTCTTTTCTTCTCATCAGATGGCCAAAGTATTGGAGCCTCAGCTTCAGGATCTGTCCTTCCAGTGAGCACTCGGGGTTGATTTCCTTCAAAATGGATAGGTTTGTTCTCTGTGCAGTCCAGGGGATGCTTAAGAGTCTCCTCCAGCACCACAATTAAAAGCATCAATTCTTCGGCGGTCAGCCTTCCTTATGGCCCAGCTCTCACTTCCATACATCGCTA